TGTGTATGGAAAATGCAGAAAAACGTTTTTTTTTCTCAAAATGGAAAGTTTCGCAAAGGTAGCACAGTCTATCAGGTATGTAATAATTATAGATTTAAACTGATATCTGCATATCAGGTGACCAAGGTGACCGATTACTCATAAATAATAATTTCTCCAGGTCTTGAATCTTTCACAGGCAGATTTCATTGACCATACTGATAGTCATAGCACACATGATATTGCTTGTGTAAAACATTTGATAGCAAAGCTATTTGAGGTAACATGGACTTATTTATCCCATGTGGAAGTAAAATTATCAAGCGACCGGGCCTCAGAGGCCCGGTTTCCAGGATATGGGACTAACTTTTGGAAAAGTTAATTTCTTCATATGTTGTAAATTATTTCAAAACTAATTATTTATCCATTGATGGGGTATAAGTTGCTTGAGGATTACATGAAAGGAACAGGCTCAAAACCTCATGCGAACGAAGAGAGAGCAAAAGATACATGGGTCCGGGCCTGCGAGGCCCCTGAAAGGTGATTGAGGGTTAAGATGTCAAAGCTCAGAAATGTAAATTAAAGGCATCAGGTATGCTTACAAAATACTTTTATTTGAGGTTTGTTTAGTTATTAAGGTTAAATTGAAAAAGAAAAGACTTCAGAAGAAAATAGGACTTTTGGAACATGTTCAAACATGCTCAGACCTGCTTTAAGCTACTCTTTTTAAATATGAATTGATTTGTTATTATCAAGTTGTCAGAAATGTGAAATTAGTAAGCCACAGCTACTGAAAAAGAAGTGTGCACAATGATACATAATACTTCTTTATATACAGAACATCTGTAAATACCAAGTTGGATTTTTTACAAGGTAACTAAATTACACGCTAATTACTATCGGCTTCCCAAACAGGTATATTAAAGAACAAAACATGGATAAGGGAACTTGGTACATTTGATAAATGTAAGTACTTATTACTTTAGTCAAAAGATATAAAATCAGCAGTCACAATTTGCACATTGAAACATGTCAAAAGTAAACAAGAATAAAGTGACACCAGTTGAAAACAAATTCTAAGATTGCTGCACAGAAGTTATAAAAGGTGAAGAACAGTTACCAAATATGTCTGTTGTATGTCACATTCAAAAAGCTACTTGTATGGGTTATTAAATTAACATTGATCCATCCATTAAGAAATTGTTCAAATTGTTGATCCCCTTATGATGAACGTAAACATTGTAATTAATCTTCAAAGGGAATATTCATAATAAGTTATCTTTAACTGACTTGGATAAATGCTGGGGAGTCTCTGCTTGGAAGCTTAATCCATTTATTAACCAAACAGTACCTTTTTATATGGATAGGGAAAAATAACTGGTCTCGTGCTCAAGTGTGGTATTGATGGAACAATCATACTATGAAGTAAATGCACACTAAATTAAAAGGATATTTTCATTTATAAAAGGGCTGCTACTAGTAACTCATTCCTTCTGTAGGGATCTAGGTGATACTCTTAATACACAACAGTGTTCAATATGCTCATTGATGCTCTGGGTGACAAGTTAATTCAGCCCAACACAAATCTGGTCATCATTTCTGTACCAAACACCTGTAAATTGCACATTTAAGAGAGATGAACTAATTAAGGGTCTATTATGTATTCAAAAGCAACCTTCAAATGTGAACAATCAGTCATGAGCAAAAATGGTGCAAACTTTTTTGAGCCTTTTCTCATATTTGGAGAAACCAATCAGTGGATACTGACATTTTAGATTTCAGGAAAGTATACAACAGTATTATATTAAAATAATAAAAATTGCCATAAAGGCTTGATGTTGCTTCAATAACCAACCCAGATATTGCCAACAATAAAGTATCTACCTATCTAAGGCTGTATTCCCAGAGCTTTTAGAATGATCTATCCCTGCAGGGAGTCTCACTAAATTACTGTCAGATAATCCAGCTTAAATGTCCGTCCCGCCAACTACAAGCTGTAAGGGGGTAATAAACTTTTGTGTCCGCTGGGCTGACAGCTATTTAGCGTGAACCCCCAAAGAGTTAGGTCAATCTAAAGTAGATCGATCTAATCTTTGGAAATGGGGTCTAAAGGTATTGCCTTGGTATGTACTTGGCTGCTAGTAGCTATCTATATAAAGTGCACAATGCTGGTACTTAGAAGATCCTGAGACTTAAATGAAAAGTATCTAAAACAATACTTACATTCTATTGCCACACTAATTATCCGGACAAGGTACAATTGACTGACTGAGTAGCTGACTAACTGAGTAACTTCAACTGGGAACTGGAAGAAATAGAATATTATATAAACTCAATTGACTATTATTTAATCTAGCACTGATGCTCTTTATATCACAAACATATTCCTTTACTTTTCTTCAGCTCCACATTGTTGAGAAGAAACTATGGTTACTCAAAAATATATGGCATATAATAATAATAATAATAATAATAATAATAATAATAATAATAATAATAATAATATTTATATGAAAAAATAATAATAATATTAAAAAATAGACAGTTAAGATATAAAGTTATTGAAATATATGGTGCAATGTAAATAAATATATACTGTAGGTTCCATTCAAAACAAGATGATCCACCAACTAGCAGATCCGCCAACTAAATAGGGCTGACCCCACTTTAAAAGTGATAGCGCTGAATCCCGAAGGTCTCACCGCCTCCACATGTGCCCTTAAACGGATTAAACCTCGTGTTCGGGTTTAATTATTAGGCCCCTACAGTTGTGGCTTGTGTGGGGGCAAGAAGACTGTTAAGGAATTAATGACATGGCTTTTGAAGTGGGGCAAAACATATTTAGTGGACGGATCTGCTTGTCAGTGGTCCATCTATTATGTTGCTTCAATAACCAACCCACATATTGCCAACAATAAAGTATCTACCTATCTAAAAGTATTGCCTTGGTATGTACTTGGCTGCTAGTAGCTATCTATATAAAGTGCACATTGCTGGTACTTATATAATCCTGAGACTTAAATGAAAAGTATCTAAAACAATACTTACATTCTATTGCCACACTAATTATCCAGACAAGGTACAATTGACTGACTGAGTAGCTGACTGACTGAGTAACTTCAACTGGAACTGGAAGAAATAGAATATTATATAAACTCAATTGACTATTATTTAATCTAGCACTGATGCTCTTTATATCACAAACATATTCCTTTACTTTTCATAAGCTCCACATTGTTGAGAAGAAACTATGGTTACTCAAAAATGTATGGCATATAATTATAATAATAATAATAATATTAATAATAATAATAATAATAATATTTATTTACAGTCTAAAATCCTTATAAAATGTTTAGTAGATTTTACAGAGGTAAAATGAACAGAATATGACCAATAGAGTCAATAATAATAATAGACAGTTAAGATATTAAGATATTGAAATATATGGTGCAATGTAAATAAATATATACTGTAGGTCCCATTCAAAACAAGATGATCCACCAACTAGCAGATCCGCCAACTAAATAGGGCTGACCCCACTTTAAAAGTGATAGCACTGAATCCCGAAGGTCTCACCACCTCCACATGTGCCCTTAAACGGATTTAACCTCGTGTTCGGGTTTAATTATTAGGCCCCTACAGTTGTGGCTTGTGTGGGGGCAAGAAGACCGTTAAGGAATTAATGACATGGCTTTTGAAGTGGGGCAAAACATATTTAGTGGACGGATCTGCTTGTCAGTGGTCCATCTATTCTGTTGCTTCAATAACCAACCCACATATTGCCAACAATAAAGTATCTACCTATCTAAAAGTATTGCCTTGGTATGTACTTGGCTGCTAGTAGCTATCTATATAAAGTGCACAATGCTGGTACTTAGATGATCCTGAGACTTAAATGAAAAGTATCTAAAACAATACTTACATTCTATTGCCACACTAATTATCCGGACAAGGTGCAATTGACTGACTGAGTAACTGACTAACTGAGTAACTTCAACTGGGAACTGGAAGAAATAGAATATTATATAAACTCAATTGACTATTATTTAATCTAGCACTGATGCTCTTTNCATATAATAATAATAATAATAATAATAATAATAATAATAATATTTATTTACAGTCTAAAATCCTTATAAAATGTTCAGTAAATTTTACAGAGGTAAAATGAACAGAATATGACCAATAGAGTCAATAATAAAAAATAGACAGTTAAGATATTAAGATATTGAAATATATGGTGCAATGTAAATAAATATAAACTGTAGGTTCCATTCAAAACAAGATGATCCACCAACTAGCAGATCCGCCAACTAAATAGGGCTGACCCCACTTTAAAAGTGATAGCACTGAATCCCGAAGGTCTCACCACCTCCACATGTGCCCTTAAATGGATTTAACCTCGTGTTCGGGTTTAATTATTAGGCCCCTACAGTTGTGGCTTGTGTGGGGGCAAGAAGACCGTTAAGGAATTAATGACATGGCTTTTGAAGTGGGCCAAAACATATTTAGTGGACGGATCTGCTTGTCAGTGGCCCATCTATTATGTTGCTTCAATAACCAACCCACATATTGCCAACAATTAAGTATCTACCTATCTAAAAGTATTGCCTTGGTATGTACTTGGCTGCTAGTAGCTATCTATATAAAGTGCACATTGCTGGTACTTATATAATCCTGAGACTTAAATGAAAAGTATCTAAAACAATACTTACATTCTATTGCCACACTAATTATCCGGACAAGGTGCAATTGACTGACTGAGTAACTGACTGAGTAACTTCAAATGGGAACTGGAAGAAATAGAATATTATATAAACTAAATTGACTATTATTTAATCTAGCACTGATACAAACATATTCCTTTACTTTTCATCAGCTCCACTTTGTTAAGAAGAAACTATGGTTACTCAAAAAATATATGGCATATAATAATAATAATAATAATAATATTTATTTACAGTCTTAAATCCATAAAGTGCACATTGCTGGTACTTATATAATAGTGGATGGACCTGCTTGTTCAGTAGATTTTACAGAGGTAAAATGAACAGAATATGACCAATAGAGTCAATAATAAAAAAAGACAGTTAAGATATAAAGATATTGAAATATATGGTGCAATGTAAATAAATATATACTGTATGTCCCATTCAAAACAAGATGATCCACCAACTAGCAGATCCGCCAACTAAATAGGGCTGACCCCACTTTAAAAGTGATAGCACTGAATCCCGAAGGTCTCACCACCTCCACATGTGCCCTTAAACGGATTTAACCTCGTGTTCGGGTTTAATTATTAGGCCCCTACAGTTGTGGCTTGTGTGGGGGCAAGAAGACCGTTAAGGAATTAATGAAATGGCTTTTGAAGTGGGGTAAAACATATTTAGTGGACGGATCTGCTTGTCAGTGGTCCATCTATTCTGTTGCTTCAATAACCAACCCACATATTTCCTACAATTTAGTATCTGCCTAGATGTTAAAGTATTGCCTTTTCTATATATTTGAATTCTAGTAGCTATCTACATCAAATGCATATTTCTGGTATTTTGATGATCGTGAGACTTAAATGTTAATGATTTAAAACAAACAATACTTACATTCTATTGCCACACTAATTAATCTGCGAAGCTTCAACTGAATTGCTTCTAACATCAACTGTGAGCTGGAAGAAATATGAAATTATATAAATTCAACTGACTATTATTCAATCTAGCATCGATGCTCTTTATATCACAAACATACTCCTTCAATTTTTATCAGCCACAATGTTGAGAAGAAACTATGGTTACTACAAGTATATTAAAATATCACCAGTAATGTTAGCAATTACTAGTACTGTAACACAGGATAACCCTTGACCCCCTTTTGGAGCAAAGTACACATGCTGTTCAACACCATAAAGCAAATGCATTAATCCTGTGAATCAATGAAAGGCAAATTCTCTTCAATAAAGAAATGTGGCATCAATTGAAACAAGCAAGACACCATTACCATTTAATGAGATTTTTCACAGAGCTATTCTTAACTTTCTTTACTCATGAGTAGTGTTGATGCACATCTCTAAAAGTTACTGCACAGTTGCAAATAGCTTTAGGATACAGATTTCACATGAACATCTTCAGTGTCTGATGTTATGTATGTATGATCTTTTCAACTGTCGATTAGGATTTTTTGCTTTATTTTTGCTCCTTAATTGTTTTCAATAGCAGTATAAATAACTCCCCTTAACCACTAACATTAAACTGAAATTTACAACTTACCAAACTTCTTCTGTTAACCTGTGGCCTCCTTAACAATGTCTCTAGTTGCACATTTCTAGGTCACTGCATCTCATTAGTCAAATGAACTGGGGATTGTGGGAAACCTCTTGATGAGAGCTTAGAATCTTCCTAAGGGAGTTCTGGCTTTTCTGTTAAACTCTCCACCCTTAGCAACAGTGTCTAGTTGCACATTTCTAGGTCAGTGCATCTCATTAGTCAAATGAACTGGGGATAGTGGGAAACCTCTTGCTGAGAGCTTAGAATCTTTCTAACAGAGTTCTGGCTTTTCTGTTAACCTGTTCACCCACAGTGTAATAAAAAAGCAACAGCTGATGTACACACCACCCAAAATGCTGCTTAGTCATTTCTTGAGTGTGCCAAAGAAACTATATTTCTGTATTTCTAAGAATCTGTCAATATAACTTCAAAATGCCAATATACGAAAATCATTTTTTCACAAAAAAGTATAACTTCCAGAAAAAATAACTAAACAAAATGCTTTTCCAAAGGAAGCTGCATTTAAGGTCCATGTTTCTTTCCTGTAAATTTGAGAAGAGTGAGTAACATGGTTTTCCTTCTATGGTGGCAGTGCCTAGAAAAGAGTTTTCTTCATTTTTAATGCAATATTGCGTAATGCTTAACTGCATAATGACTATCAAATTTTAATGATAAAATATCAAAGTATCATAAATATTCAGAAAATGTGACTAGCAAAGGTTTTCAGGACTATGAAACTTCAAAGTCACACCTTGAAATTACCGAAATGTAAACAAGACAGAACTGTACTGAAATGGGTTTATTTCCATTTTAACACTTTTTTTTACATAAAACAATTAATTTACTGTACTTTTTTAATGATCAAACAAGAAAATTGTTGAGACATAGATAGTATATATAGAACAATATTAAATGTTCAGTTTGCTCCATTTTGAGATTCTGAACATAGTAAATGATTAAATCTGACAAACTGCAATAATTTGCTTTTTTTCCATTTTTTCCATTTTTGAGACTTAATTACACAATAGATTAACACAGGTTTAACACCATTTTTATGTAATCAACTAACAATATTGTAAAGATGAAAAATTTGTCAAAAGAACATTTATACGTATCTTATTGGTTCAATAATGAGACTGTAAACATGCCTAAGAATTGAACCTGAGGTAAAAGCACTTATAAACAACACTTATAAACATAACTGCATCAAAATGGAACCAATCAAGCTTACTTTCGAACTCAACCTGTACTTTAGTAACATTAAGCTCTCCTGTGAGTTTCATGTCAATAAGCCTATTAGTTTTCCTTGAAAATATATATACAGTGTTGCATATATGTTGAAAAGTGAGAAAACAGCATAACTTCTACAATTATGGCCCAATCATGCTGATTTTCGAACTTGACCTGCATTTTTGTAAGATTGATTACTCCTGTGAGTTTCATGACAACAGGCCTATCGGTTTTCCTTAAAATGTGTTTACAGGGTTGCATATATGCTGAAAAGTGAAAAAACAGCATAACTTCTACTATAATGGCCCGATCATGCTGANATTATATCCAGTGTACTAGACATCATGTCATGACTTAAATAGTAGTACTTTACCCTCAAATTGGGAGAATTGAAAATAGTGATAGTTTACTTAAGTAGTTTGAATCATCAACAAATAACTTTGCTTTTGCTTGTTCATCAGGCTATTGAGGAGGGAACACTGGATGAATTGGAGGAACGCAACAAACGGACATCGGGCAAGGGAAAAGGTCGGAAACGCAAGTTTGTAGATGATGAGCCCAGTAGCAGTTCCAAGAAAGAGAAGAAAAGACGTGGGAGGCCCCCTGCAGAGAAACTGGCTCCCAATCCTCCCAAACTGACCAAGATGATGAAGAAATTACTGGAAGTGGTCATCTATTACAGAGATGCGTGAGTACTGTATTGTAGATTAAGCAAGATATTTTTTTCTAATTTTGTGTGCTCAAGTTTTTTTTTTTTTTTTTTTTTAACAAATTCTTGTGCTGATTGAGTTGCTCATGTGGAAGAGTTGTGGGTTCTGTGTTCAAAGCTTAGAAACATAGGCTGGTGTGTAGTAGCTGAGCACATTGGATTTAAGGTTCAAGTATGGCCCTAGTCTTGTCACACTATGCATCACACTGGACTGGGAGGCCTGGTGAATGCAGAGTGTGGTTGACACATAGACAGCAGTTGCACATTTTAAAACAAGTGCAGACATCTCAGGTAGCTATACCCAAGCTTTCTACATGGCTTGCTGTGTTTGTAAAGTTATTTTTATAAAAATTGAATTTTTTTAGTGACAAACGAGTCCTCAGTGAGCCATTCATGACACTGCCATCGAAGAAGGAGCTGCCTGATTATTATGAAGTAATAAGGAAACCAGTAGATTTTAAGAAAATTAAGGTAAAGCAAAAATATTAGGTATAGATGGTACATCTGTAAGAACAAAGACTCTGGTTAATAAATCACTGATGTATAAGTAAAGAATAAGTTTTTTTAAATAACTTGTAGATTAAGATGAATTAAGAAACAAAAAAGATTATTTAAAAATTACCTTTTCAATTGAAATCTGAGAAAAAGAGGAATTTTTTTTCAAATGCATTAAAAAATATTTTCCAGCAAAGAATCAAGGACCACAAATATCGTAGCTTGGACGACTTGGAGAAGGATGTGATGCTGTTGTGTCAGAATGCACAAGAGTATAATATGGAGGGATCACTGGTAAGACCCCCTCGCAAACCTCACAAGCTTCTCAAACTCAAAGACTTTGTAAGTAGTTTCTGTCCAAAGGGGTTGACTTGGTGGTAAGAAAGTTTGTTCCCAGTGAAACCCCCTTGCTGCGTGGTACCTGAGTGCTCTCGTCTTCATATCTTGGTGATGATCTTGTTCCATACTATTGTTATTCTAACAGTGTTTTTTTTCTCCGATTTCTCCTGTTGATACTAACATTTGAGGATTCTAGAAAATTTAGGTTTGAACAAACTTTCTAAGCATCCTGTTTTCCATATGAATGGTATTTTCCATTGAGGTAGCTCTATGGTAGTGCAATTCTGTGATATGCTGCAAATTAGGGAATAAGTTATAATTGATGATATTGCCAGGTGTTTTGATACACTAGAAAGCAAAAAAAGAGTAAAACCCTTTTTCATAAATAATTAATTAAGGCGGTGAGAGTGTGGGCATATCACTAAAACAGAGCTACCCCAACATATTTTTATCTCAACCTCTTACGTATGTAGAATTTAAAGTACAGGTTAGGATAGAATTTTTTTTTTCTTACATTTTAGTCACATTTAATATATAAGTCCTTCTGGAAATAGTTGTTAAGAAATGACATCTTATTCTAATCATAGAAAGATTTAGGGATAAAATTTCTCATACTCAATTATGAAAAAAACTTGTTCATTTTGTACAGTCTGTCCCAGGTTTGCTGTTGATGATGTTATTTTTTGTTTAGATTTACGAGGACTCCATAGTGCTGCAGTCTGTGTTTGTCAACGCCAGGGAAAGGTTGGAGAAAGAGGGTGTCCTCCCATCCCCTGCTGCCAGTGAGAGTGAAGGGGAACAAGAGGCAGAGGGAGGAGAACAGGAAGGGGAAGAGGATGAAGAGGAAGATGGTAAAAGAATGAATATTTTTGATTTAATAATTAGAAATAGATAGGAAAGAGAAGTACCTTGATTTATAATACATTACAAGATTTATCATTTAGAAGTGGTGTGCATAGGCAATTGCTTTGTGAATTTAGGATTTCATAAAACGTGATAAAATATCAAACATAAAATAAAATATGATAATTTTTGGTTTTCAGGCCAGTATCCTAAAGTGAAAATTAAGCTGGGCAAAGAAGGCAGTGCCAAGAAGGTGCATACTATCATCGTTTTTGTGATTTTAAATTGATATTAAATATTGAATTTTTTATGTGCCAAAAGAGATGTCGTGTAGTAGTAATATCTGCGTTTATGTTGAGTTATAGAAATGAAATAAGTTGAATAAAATGATGGCAACCAAGAGGTTGAAGTTATACAAAGATATTAGTAGGTATAAAACTATTTTAAGTTATACATCAAATGAGATATAAACTGGTTAAACAAATGGAAAAAAACAGTGAAAGTGGATAATAGTGAAAATCTTAAGAGAGATTATAATTCAAGGATTAAAATTGTATTTTAATCACCCAATTTCTCATAATTTTAGGATAGAGGAAAAAGCAAGAAGAAGGGAAGACCTGCTAAAACTAAACCAGTTATAAGTGATGATGAGGAATCAGAAGGAGAAGGAGAACCAGAAGAGGTAAGAACATTTAAATTGTACATAAATATAGTAGACTCTGCTTAAATCCTCACTTTTAAACCAAAATTGTTGTTTAATTTAAAAAAAATATTTATTGAACACATTTTTCCTTATTTTTAGATGAAATTAGTTTTAGCATTTCAAAACATGAATCTTTGTCCAACTTGCACATGTCCAGTGTCCAAGTTTTGCAGATTCTGCTGTATTTTCAACCATATGGATATTTTAATCAGAACAGTTCTTTTGCCATAAAATGTAAAAGAATACTTTTTAAAATTGGCTTTCTTCTAGCCAGCTGTTTGTTGTCAAATGAAATACCGACAGTAATAGTGAGTTATGTTTTATTTCTATGTAGGAGCATTCCGAGATCAGTGAGGATGCTGGGACCAGTTCTCACACCTCTTCCAGGGTGTCTTCGCCAGCCCCTGGGGGGCAGCACAGGAAGAAGACTGCCTAGACAGTATATTGCTGTCTTTTGCCATTTCAAAAACTAGTAACTGTTTTTGTATGGAAATGACTTGTAGATGCCTTTTAGCAACCCCATGGCAGTAGAGGGGGAGAACAAACTAAAATTTCATGTAAATTGTGAATGCATAAATTAAGTTCAATTAGTTACTGAATGCATAGATATGTTATTGTTACACTTCAACACTGTATGTCATCAAGAGCTACAGGTTAAGGGAATACAAATATGTGAAGTTTGTAAAAAAAAAATCAAATTGCATGTCGCTACTGCCTACCATTAACATTGTAGTTTTTTTTTTTATTAAATGTATTATAAATATTGTAACAAACATTAATTGGATGTTTGTATCACTAGAAAATGGGATAAAATGCTGTTTACAGGGTGTTATTGTGTACTCCATTTCATCTAACTTTCATATACTATCCTCAATTTGTGTTACAAAGTGGATATCTTGTTAGCCTCATAGAAGTACTTTAGTGCATATATGCTTATTTCTTTGCACATCATGTAAATGTACCAACAAGTAGCTGTGTCTAGTATAATGAAAAATAAAAATTCCTGATGAGATTGTTAGCAGGATAAGGTGAAAGTTTTCCTTTTTCTGGTCAAATTTGGTCTGAAGTTACAGCATGTATAACCAACTAAGATCACCTCTGCTCTTTGTGCATGGCAAGTTACTTTGTAGAGTGACCATGTAAGAATAAGAAAATTGAATTCAGAGAAAATTGCACTTTTTACTCAAAATTCCATGGATTATAATTCAGTTGATATTGTATTAATGTACAATTTCTGTTCAATTGGTTGAGTACAGGACTGGAGAGAGTAAAAATTTTGCATCTGAAAAACTTAGATTCCAATATAGATAAGAGAATTTTTCAGTGGAACATGCAATAAAATGTAGAAGCTGTAAAGAATTGTTTCTTTTACAAATAATGTATAATTTCATGGATGATATGCAGGCTGAAGGTTTAATAAAACAGACGACATGATAGTACTCTAGCAAGTGCAACGCAACAAGTTGAATGTTTTTATTCTATAATATTTACATCACACATTAAGCTAATTCATATATAAATAAAAATGAGCATGAAAATTTATGCCATGGCCATCTACCTATCATCTTCATTAAGCTTCCAAATATGCCACAACAAGAATTCAATCGAGCAAAATGCCGTAATTATAAAGAGTGGAATAGTCTTTAAAAAGTTTAACTGAATACAGACGGACTTAAAACTGAATGTTGGCAATACCTGGTTTACAACAATTTTAGACTGCTTGTTCAAACCACACCTACAAACCCATCAATTTGAACTATCCGTCAAACTTCCCCTAAAAATGATAAGAGGTTCATAACGGTGGAAACATAAAAGACGATGTACAAAGTCAATACAGTAGAATGTTCCTTGCCACTTTTAATCAAACCATTTTATATAAAACCATTTTAATGAGTTTAAAACAGAAAAATTAGGTGGGATTCCAGTGTCCTATTGAGAAGCTTTCATTTTCTGTCACAAACTGATCATATGCAGCTGCCATTTCATCATCCATGCCACCCTGATCAAAATCATAGCCATACTCATCACTGAAATTAGAAAATAAATTTGCATGATTAACAAACACTGAGATACTTTTTATAGCAAGAGAAAAAATTATCAAATGAAATCAATTACTATCTCCAATATAATAGCATATCTACATGAAAAGTCATCGCAGCCAGATCAGTACCAGCATGTAGACTAATTCCATCAATCTTCATTTGTTTAAATGCAAAAAATTTATCCTATAGAATAAAAAGTTTCTTAATTGAAAAAAAAAAAAAAAAAAAAAAAAAAAAAACACTTCTAAGAATTAAATGAGAGAACAGTTTCATTAGCTTTGTATGTATCAATTTAAATTATTGTTTTTCTTTTTATCAAGAGCTTCTAAAATATGTGGGTATTACCTCCAATTTTTCTGTGACTGTCAGCCCTGTCAGTCACAGAAATATTGGAGGTAATACCCACATATTTTAGAAGCTCTTGATAAAAAGAATAACAATAATTTAAACTTCTAAGAAGCATTAATTAAATAAGGAATACAGCAATATAATATCACAAGGTCCATTTATACATTTGGAACATTTTACAGCTCCATAGGTAACTACAGCAAAATAGATATTTTTCTTGAATTATTGTGGCAATGAAAAAAAAATACACAGCACTGCCATTTCCATCAAAGAAATAGGCACAGGATGAACATATGTAGAGAGACTACAAAGAGCAACATTAAGCTTTAAAATTATTATTGTCCCCTGTGAAAGTAAACGAAAAAATGAAGACAGCAACTCACTATCCATCATACTGCTCTGGGTCTGCCCACTTCACATATTCATCAACATCTGACTGTGAGTAAACTTCTGGGTATTCTTCTTGAAAACCAGCTTGAACTCTGGTAATTTGCTGTCCTCGTGAATCATAAAAGACAGGTTCAGGCTAAATAAGAAAGAAAAATATGTCTAATTTTTCAAAAAGGTTCAATTAAAGGTAATCTGTATAAGATTTCCCCACCAAAACTAGTTTTTTCTTTCTTTCTTTCTTTTTTTTTTTTTTGGGGGGGGGGGGGGGGGGGCATTTTCTCCTCAACTCAAGTTAGCACTTTGACTTGATATTTTACTTTTTCAAATTCAATAATTACTTCAACAACATCTGCAATACTGAGATACTGATATTCACACGAAAATGGAACAGTTTTGTATTGAGGCCTTGTACCCTGTAAAATACACAAAGTTGTGAGACGTTACCTCTATCTGCTTGCTCTAAGAAAGAAAAATGTCATAAGGTATGCTCAAGTTATAAACTTTTGTTAAAGGAGTTTTATTTTAGGTCTGAAATGGAAAATACAAGAAGCCTTGCAGGATAAAAAAAAATGGCTGTGGGGCATTTTCAAACACATGCAGATTACCTTTAATTGACTTCTCCTCTGAAGGATAATAAAAGTGATTGATAAATCATTTGAAGACTTAAACAACATTCAAGTTCCATATCAAATATCTAAATTTTAGATCAAGAAAAAAGGCTTATAATGAAAGGAGATAGTTATGAATTTTATTTGAGAGCTATTAACAAAATGACCTGAACAACATGTTTGCATAGTGTTCTGCAAGAATGAAAAAGGTGAAACTGCTTTCTGGAAAATTATTGAACAAGTGAATGGATAAAATGTTTCATTATTACCCAATCACCTGACCTGTATACCTTTAAAAATAATACACAGTATCTGCACGTGTTATTTTTTTAAATTAAAATAGCATCTTTTTTAGAACATACAGACTTGTGTATTAAAATATGTAGAAAACATCTAATTTACCTGTGTAAATGGATCATCTTGGTTAAATGTGAATGCATTATGTGCATCACTCTTTACAACAGGAGAAGACTCTGCACGACCCCAGTCACTTGCACGAAGCTCAATCACGCCAAGCATCATCTGCTTGATATGCCTAAACAATGCAAAATATTCACAAATCAGACTTACACATATTCTTTTCACAGGATAATAAATGACGTATACTTATGTTCATTAACAGAAAATAGAAGATAACTTATTCATTACCCTGATCAAAGATGTTCTTTAAAAAAAAAAAAAAAAAAAAAAAAAAAAAATATATATATATATATATATATATATAAATAAATCAGATACACTACTTTTCATTTATAGAAATCATAACATTTACATTGCCCTTTAAGTATCACATACTTGCTGACACTGTCTTCAACTGTACATTTTTTGATCAGCTGGAAGATATCATCCATGGATTTGCCAGAGGGCTTATTGACCATTACTCTCTCTTCATCTTCTAATACTGCCCCTGCAAACTGAAATGAAAGGTAGGGTTTTACTACATCGTTTTAGCCTATACTTTAATATGAATCAAAATTGGTTAACTGAATTTGTTTAAACATTCCCAATTAAAATGAAACCTTTGGTTGTTTTTTTTTTTTTTTTATATTTTTCACAGTTTCTATAATATTTGTTTCATTATGGGTAAGGCCTGCACGTTTTCGTTACTTACTTTGAGAAGCTGTCCTACACACTTGAGATTACTGTCTGTTGGATGAGACAACAAAGTCACAGCAACATCTTTTAATCCTGTACCTAATATATTTATTCTTTGCCATGAATTTCCAACTTTAATCTGCAAAACAATAGAAATTCAAGCAGTGAGGAGCTCTACCCTAGGCTTGTCAGTAGTGAATAAGTAAGATTCGTATAAGACAAAACGAAAGAATTCAAATCATCCTTCTTTTCAGCAATGAGTCTAAAATCATGTTAATAAAATATTGGCCTTCACTCCATTTAAAATTCAAAATAAATACATCACAGCAAACACTTAATCTGCATTATTTTCTGAAAATGGAAAAAGTTACATTACCTTTTATTAGATATAATATATAGCTTAATGTTTTTATTACCTTCATATGTAGAAAGAGTTCCCCCATAAACATGGCAAATCCATGTAATCTACTAACTTGATTGCCATCTTTCACGAGCTCTTCCCTTTTTAAGTGTTCTTGATGACACCTTTTGAGATAAGTATAAATGCAAAATTGAAATGTCTACCAATTAAGAAATCATAATAACAATATACTAATAACATTCATTTCCTTCCTCATCAGCTAAAAGTTACTTCAAAAAAAAATTACTATAAAAAAGCAACATCGAATGCATTTTTAAAAATAAGATGCAACAATAACTACTGAATATATAATCATAATATCAAATAATACATCATGTTTACTGTAAAATCAATAAATATAAAATGAATTACCTCTTCATCATGTGCTGTCTAAAATTTCCTGTTTCTCCTTTTAATCTTAAATGTTCACTAAAATGACCACATAGCCTGGCTCCTGTGTAGCGGAAATTGGGTTCTGTAACAGCCTGGGAATAAACCAGTACAATTAATATGGTGAAACATTTTCAATATGAAAATGAGAATTATTTGAAGACAGAATCTTGTAAAGAAGGGAAAACAAATTGCACAATCTTAGAAAAAAATGTGATAAATCAAAGCACACTAAAAAAAAAAGACGAAGCAGAAAATATAAGTAAATTCTTTACCTGTTCAAATATTATGTTAATAATTTCAATAATTGTGCTTTCATCAGTGACCCATGAATTGATTGTCTCAGTTATTGACTTCATCAGGTCGTCAAAGCTACCAGGCCTCAAGGTCAAGGCAAATATTGTCTCTCTCACTTGGTCTATCACATCTACATCTGGGTAAATATATTCCTAAAAAAATACCTTATCAGTTATTCTTATGGGAACATGTGAGGCTAATAAGCATCCAAATTTATGTTGCTGACATAAATCAAAGTAAGATTGGTATACATATATTTGAATTGTACACTTATATTGGTATGGTTACACAAATTTGTGTTCTCCTGAAAACATGAATAACTCAGTAAACAAAATAATGCAATAAGTAAATATAATCATATTTTAGAAGTAAAAGAATCTGAAGTTAATATTTTGGCATACAGATCAGGCCTGTAGCCAGCAATTTCAAAAGGGGGTTCTTTTCCATAAAAACATCATGTACCTAGATCAAATTTTACCAAGAGTGGACCTTTTCCTAGCAAAAAGGTTGGTTCTTTCAAACTCCCCGAACCCCCCTGGCTACGGGCCTGCAGATGTAATGACCATTTCTCCTGTTGGTGATTAATCAACGGGTAGGTATCCCTGTGTGTGCGTGTGTGTGCCTGCACCCATGTGTGTGCTCAGAGAAAGGGAAGTCCACTTCTGATTATTAACCACTACAAGTTGCAGCAGCTGGTGATGTATTGTGACCATGAATCAAAACAAATGCATCATACCACCACAATAAGATTTTTCCCTAAAGATATTTGTACTTGTTGCCACATGCAGTAGTCTTTATATCATCAAAATGGTACCTGTTCAGCAACCCAGTTTCTTGGCACAAACTCTGGAGCATTGACAGACAGTGTTGAATTTGATACAATCGCAGAAAACTGTGATGAAGGCTTTGTCTGATTCTTGTCTTCCTCTGGGGCAGGGGAAGCTGTCACGTGAGGTTTCAGAGAATCTTATGGCAATGAAAAAAATAAAGATTATATAAAATGTTGCAAGCAAATATAAATATACAAGCAGTAAATGTGAATGGGCTGTACCATATACTAGTACTTAGAAGCACACATTTTAATATGCATAACACCGTCTTTTTCAGTTTGAACAAATAACAACTAAAGCATTTGCAAACATGTTCAATGATATATACTTTAGAAATACCTAATGCATATTTTGTGAATATTTAAAGCAGGCCCACGTAAAGCAAAAATTGAGTCAGAGAAATTAGAGACTACATTTTATGCTAGATGCAGGAATGTGTTCTCTGTCAAATTATGACATTGCTTCAAGGGGTTTATTACAAACAATTTTAAAAATGACACAATGTACTGACACCAGATACGTATAAAACATACAGATACGTATATATAGTAGACTCCGCAAATAATGGCCTCACAAAACCCAGATATTTGCCTAAATTGTACTGAAATGGGAAGTTTTGTCTAACGACAAAGAAGGGCACATGTATATATAAAGGACTGCGCACATGTTTTTAGTTTAATAGACAACAAAGATTTGATATATGTGAGTTTTACGTCTTAATAATAAATCTATCTATAAACCTCCTGCTAAAAGCTGTGCTTCAGTTTCTGGAAGGGGTCGGCGGAGACCCTTTTTGTCTGCTAGGTTTGTGGCGCCACTACCGCCAGTACCAGGCGAGGGCGGATTTGTTTGTTGCACGCGTTTCTGAAATCCTCTTCCCCGTCCGCGTCCTCTTCCAGGGCTGCTGGTGTCGCTGTTCATATCTCCTGATCCCGACATTATCTCATGAACACATGCTTCGCAAAGTTTACCAGCATAATAATAAGTATTGTAACGGAGCACCTAACGCCGCCAACAACTTGTAAATGCGCAGCGTCTAATCGAAAGTGGTAGAACCCAGCTTGTCTTAACAGGAAGTAACTTAGTTTTGATATTCCGCAGCAAATATCAGAATGGTCTACTTTTTATTTAAATCAATGTTAAAAATTATGTAAATAATACTGAAAGATGAAATTATGCTACGAAATTGTTTAAAATATTAATAATTTGATAAACTGTTGAAAAGTAATTAATTCGTTTGAATGATTTTTACCATCATCACGATCGCAGAACTCTTTAAAAATGGTGAAGAGGAAACACGCGGATCGTTCAAGCGGTGGAGCAGTAGACAGCAAATCTACACCAAAGGATGAGGTTCTTCCAGCAGTCAGGACCTCAGACGAACCAGCTCCAAAAAAGGTGAAACCATACATATATAAATCTTGATAATATTTAAACGAACGAGACTAGTGTCTGGTCCAAGTTTTGTGTCCCGACTCTCAACTTGTTCGCCTCTAGGCTCTAACACATATATACGTACATGTATTCAAGTTTTCTTAAATATTGGAGCAAAATCGAATTAATAAATATTGCAGCAGATTATTTTATTACTCCACTGAGGCTGGGACTTTGATCCACATCCACGCAGTGCCATACTAGCAATACAAGAAATCGTGTGATGTCTGACTAGCATTTTAATATAACTTTCATTTTGTCTCTTAGCAAAAATGGACCAACAAACAGAGAGTCCTCATTTTCTCATCAAGAGGAGTTTCATATCGAGCCAGACATCTAATGACCGACTTGCGGACATTAATGCCTCATTCAAAAGCAGGTAAATGTTTTAAGAGTATAAATTGTTAATGCTGGGTTGCCTTAATGCCTAACACTATTTTTGGTAGCATCACCAATCCCCAATTTAGAATGTACTGAGATCACATTGATTGCAAGGTTAAATCTACAAAAAAAAAAAAAAAAAAAAGAAAAAAGAAAAAAAATCACATTCAGTTTTGATTAATCATGTGGATTAATTAGAGTTCAAGGGCAGTATTAATTATAAAACTTTTATAATATATTTTCCGGTTTTGATTCTAGAAACAAAAATGGACAGAAAAGATTCTTTATTTGTTGTAAATGAGGTAAGTTTGTTTTTTTGGCGTGATTAATAAGATGAAATGTTTGATACTTGTTTATTATCAACCTTTGCTGGAAGTTTTTGGATACATATATATATATTTTAAACATTTGCTGAATCAATCAAAATTAGATAGTTTTCATATTCATTAAGTTTCATTTTATTGTTCTGTTTCATGTATATTTCCAAATATTTGACACTTGAACTTTTTGTAGATTGCTGAAATGAAAAATTGCAACAGATGTATATATTTTGAAATGAAGAAGAAACAAGACCTTTATATGTGGTAAATATTTGTTTAAGCACCCCGCACATGGTGAGCAATTGGTGCGCGCCACTTGCGCTGCGCCAGATGCTCGCGCTCCTCAGCTCCCCGCAAACGCTGCGCTCTTTGCTTAGCAGAGGTGCCTCCCGGCCTGCCCCTATCGGATGCACCGTGAACTGTGGGATCATGTGATTAAGTAAACATTACATATTGATTTTTTTCTGAAAGTAATGGAAAGTGGTGACCACGTTAATCAATCAGACTAACTATAACTGTGTACATTTTTGTTGCTTTCGCTGGGGTCTGCCATTTTTCTTTGTTTCCGGCTACCAGCACATGCGCATTGGTTGGCATGACTTGAGCAATCGGCGCTTGCACCCCGCACACGCTGAGCCATTTGCCTCAAGAGACCAAAAATATCAAACACGTGAGATATTTTGCTCAGCTGCGCGAGAGGCAAAAATCTCACCAAAATACCCTAGCAAACGGAGAGAAAACGGCGCAGCGCAAGTGCGGCGCGCCAATTGCTCACTGTGTGCGGGGGGCTTTATGTGTGGTAAATATTTGTTTATAGTTGAAAAGTAGTACTGTTTACACTTCATTATTTATAGTTTGAAATACCAACTGCTAGCAGCAGTTTGAAATGAATACCTAAAGTGAAGTTATAAAACCTTTACATTTCTATCAGGCCACAAATGACTTGAAGATCTCTACTCACAAATTCTTTTCTGTTTTTATAGGGTCAGCGGTGTCCCCAAAGGTCCCTCTGTTAAATTTCTCATAGAAAATGGTAGGTTGAGAAGTGCTGATAGATTTTCTTTCATTGTTAATTTGATGTACAATGCTTATGTTGACATACTTTGAAGCACTTATGTAAATTTTCTGAAAAACATTGTACTACGTAGTATGATAAAGATTAAAGTGTCTTCTTATTTATCACAGTTATTATTTTTCTGTGAATGGTTTTAATGGAAGGACATTATTCATGGCAAGAGTCAGAGTAAGTTCACATAGAGCATTCTTTTGCTTTACATTTTTCTTGGCATTGAAATTTCAGTTCACACTATGTTAGAGCTGAAAATGACTGGAAACTGCTTAAAATCTTCAAGACCACTGCTTTCATTTGACACGGTATGTTTACCATCATGTGAATGTTTTTTTGTTTTGTTTTGTAATAGCTTTACATTAATATACATAAATGTATCTCTTGTTTTATGAAATATGTTGAGTGGTCTGAATGGTATACATTTGTCATGTTGTCTTACACATTTGTCATGTTTAGAGTGCTTTTTACAA